AGAAGATTGGGAGTAGTAGGATAGAGATAAAGTGATCAGGACATGCTGGCTCATGCGTCCAGAAAATATGAGACATGTAATTTGGACAGGAAATGTAAATCCATATGTTGTCCAATCATTAGTGGCAATCATGACCTTTCTTTTTCTCACCAGGAAAACAGGTCAGCCCATTTTCCAATACGATGAACTGGCGCTAGCAATGTGAAGAAGAAGTCATAAAATAGTCCTCACTGAAATTCACAGTGCAAGATCCATTTTTATCTTTGCCAGTGTAATGAGACATTTGCACCAAATGCTCTGAAAATAAAAAGCTTTCACGCCCTAGCAACCTCACCCCATCTCATGGTAGAGAGCGATGGCTCGAGGGCTGTCCAGGCTTTGCCAAACAAGAACTTTCCTCATGGAGCCATCCAGGTTGGCAACCTCAATGCGGTTGGTTCCTGTGTCTGTCCAGTAGACCTTTCTCCCTACAGCGTCCACTGCTAGACCATCAGTTGTCATCAACCCTACAGAGGCCGACAGAGATGAAGTCATGACACAATGATGTAGGAGTTAAACTGTTTACAGTAGTTACATGTAAGCTCTCGTCCTCACCTGTAGATATGATGTCTTCATGTGCTATTCCGTTGATGTTGGCTCTGCTGATTTTCTTCAGTGTACTGTCAGACCAATAAACTTTTCCTATAGGAGACGCCATATACACATGTAAGGACACCATTTCTACATCACTTGTCTTTTCAAAAGAGGATTTTAAAACTTTGAGGGGACATACGAACCTTCTTTGGGGTCGACCCCGATGGCAATGGTGTTTTTCATGGAGCTATTAACAGCCAGAACCACATCAGCAAAGTAGGGGATATCTAGAGAAACCATCCTAATGTCTGTCCTCCGTGCAAAGATCAGAAAGCTGTTCATCCCTGTGTGAGTACACACACATCAACACATGTCAAAGCACTTTCAGCTCAGAATACAAAGCGGGCTGACATGCTTTTATCCTCCTGGCAGCAAATGTTTTTGACATTAGCCCTTTGCACTCTACACTGTTTTTGTGCAGTTTCTCTCCTTTAATCTGTGGGCTTATGAAAGATATTTTTCAAGGATTGTGCCAGTGATTTTGTACTACTATTCTCATCATGCTTTTGGTGACAAACATTAAGTATGATGTTGCCTTTGAGGTCAACAAGTTAAAGTAGATGTGGGATTCACCAGAGGGCCATTTTTGTCTATATGTCTTTACAGTTTGGTTCATTGCCACTATGAAAAGTCACACTGTATTAGCTACAGGCAGTTATGGTTTATGCTGTAAACATGGATAAACAGGATAACAGCTAAGTTGCTTATTTTTGACATCAAAAACAAAGACTAAATTTGTTTATGCCTTATTCTCAGCAGACATCAGACAATGTCCATTGTGTGTGATAACCTATCCAATTAAACCTTTTGGTCAGATGTTTCTGCAATGCAGAGGTTTTTTCGCACCAGGCATGCAGGTCTTTCCATCTGTCTGCAGGTTGATCCCAGTGGGACAGGCACAGCTGGAGGCTTTGGGAGCAGGAGCCAGTAGACAGAGATGGCTGCAGCCTCCATTCTTCACCGCACATGGGTTATGTGCTACATATGAAGACATACAAACAGACTCAGCTCATCTACCATCCTAGCTTCTAGGACAGCTCAGAGGCATGAAAGGCAAATGGGAAAAATGGGACAAACAAACCAGAAAACAGACAATGTTGCAGACACAGACAGTAAAACCCTTTGGCAGAGCCCCATACATTATTGATGTTTCAGTTTGGTATGAGCCCTGAGGTTTTCTGCCGCTCAGCCAATGATCTGGGTTCAATTTACCTATAATCCTCCCAGTGTCAGCAGAGACACTGGATCTGAGATCTAAGAAAAGGTGGCAAAGATCAGAAAAGCAAAAAGTGACAGGAGAACATTTCTTCCTTTGTCACAAGAGACTACACAAATCCAAGAGGACTGTGTGAAGTAAACCAACATGTCTTTGAAGATGTTCACAGTTATTCTTGATGAACAGTGTAGGAATTTTCAAACAGTCCAGCGATGCAGCAGGACAATGATTCTAGACATACATGTTGGCTCAGGTTGAACAATATATGGACAACATCTAATTGTGATTTTTCCGATTGGTGCATTTTAAATTATGATGATTTCCTGTAGGATAAACTCCAGGTCTGTATTGGTGATATCAAATATATTATGTTTATACTATAAATTATCACAAATTTATTTCCACATGGGAAAAAAAATCAGATGTCTGATTGACACCATACTGTTTTGCTTTGCATTTGCTGCTTAATATTAACAGGACAGGCTGCTCCATAGAACTGTGGATGCCCATTTGCCAGATTTAGGCAAATAACAGTAATTACCTACTAAAGTGGCAAGCGTTCCTACACTGTTTATTTGATGTGAATGTAAACATCCTCAAATTACAGCCACAGTAAAAGTCTGCACTCAAACCTTACAGTTATTTCAGTCATTTCAGATCCAATGTTACACAGTACAGAGACAAAACAATGAAAACATGGGCCACTGTCTTACTGCATGGTACATGTATGCTTCAGTCTTGATGTAGCACGTGAATGCACACAGACCTGTCTCACGGTGTCGGTGGAACATGTGAATGTCCATGAGGTTCTCCAGGTTTTCGGCCAGTGTGTGCCGTCCCAAGCCTGTGAGCTTATCAGCGCTCTGGATGTTCTTGGACTGCCAGTCGGTCCAGTACAGCTTGTCCTCGTGTACAGTCAGGCCAAAGGGGTGAGGCAGCTGGCTACCAATCAAAACCTGTAGCAAAGAAAGTGGCAGAGGTCTGGTGAGGTCTGTAAACACTCCCAAACATCTGTTTATGTGTTGGTTTCAAATTAGCAGAAAGAAGGGTGAACAACTCATTGAACTGCTACTAACAAAATAAACCTTTTCTACTAAAGAATTTCTCAACCAATCCACACAAAAACAAACTCTGTGAGGACACAAATTAAGTGAAAGATGTTTTAAAATACCCTTTACCTGTCGGTCAGAACCATCAAAGTTGCCAAATTCAATAGTCTTCATGCCGGCGTCAGCCCAGTATAGTCGTTTGGTCTCGTAGTCAATGGCTAGCCCGTTGGGCCACGTCAGATTGGATGAGATGATGACGATGCGACTGGATGCATCCATTCCCGCACGCTCAATCTTGGGATTGGCACCCCAGTCAGTCCAGTACATGAAACTATGGAGAAAGAATAAAAAGAATGAGAAAGAACAGGAGTGCTACACTAAGTTTACGTTCAAATGTTACTTTCAAACTTTTTTTGATCATCTTACCCTCCAATCGGATCGACAACAATGTCCCTGGGTCGGTCCAGGTTCTCCCATATCAGTACAGTCCGCATGCTCCCATCTGCATTTGAAACTTCAATACGATCTGTACCTGAGAAAGCCAAGATATGACTGGTTGAAATCAAGTCATGTGAGTGATTGCACATAAGGCATCAGCAATATGTGAAACAAGGCTCTTTACCAGCATCAGTCCAGTAGAGCTTGTTGGTCACCCAGTCGATTGCCAGGCCTGCTGGGCTCTCCAGACTAGTGTCCACCACCACCTGAAAAAAAGAGGGACAACAAAGATCTGAATCCTCCCATTCTCCCAGTCTGCCACTGACACTGATAAGTCAAGACTGTAGAAAGAATGTGACTATTCCATCTTCCTATGAACCAATACTTCTCATATTACTATTCAAGTTTTCTGTTGTTGTAGGTTTGTTCTAATTATTTTTTGGCTTTAATTTCATTCTTCTGTTTGGTGTTTTGAACTGACTAATCTCCAAGAGTAGCATCTGTTAACATGAAATCTTATGGAGATATTTTTGTGTATGTTGTTTTTGTTTTCTCTGTGTCTAGCTGCAGGCTTGAATATGTGACGTGGATCACAGTGTGAACTGAATCTAGCACAGATCATCTGAACTCAACTACTACTGTATCTTCTACAAAGCATGATATGCTGCTGCACTTTCACATCAGCCCAAGTAGATGGCAGTAATGCATAAACTTCAATCTTTTTGTCCTCTGCTGCTGCTCCCATCTTATCTAGGACGGATGAGAAATGATTGGATTTCAGTGTTGCTTTCAGTCACACTATGGATGCCACTGACCTCCTGCTTGGTGCCGTTCCACAGCGCTCTGTTGATAGAGTCTGTGGTGACATCTGTCCAGTAGATGTACCCGCCTTTAGCGTCCCAGTCCAGCGCCACAGCATTGCGCACGTCAGCCAGAGGGATGACATAATCAGACATGTCCTCTGTATCGAAGCTGATTCGTCGGATGTCCGTCCTTCGGGCAAAAAGCAGGAACTTGTCAAGACCTGATTAAAGACCAAAGGTCTTCTGTCAGTCTTCTAGGTTTAACAGTGGGGTCAACAGTGAACACAACAAGACAACACTTCCACACAGACAACCTGCAGCCCTTAAAGGGCAAATTCCACCAAACTGACCAACTAATACCATAAATCATAACCACTCCCCTAACATATTTATCTAGAATGATGCTAATAAAACACAAACATTTTTAAAACTATAGTGTGCGTTTGGTGTCACATTATTCTCTTTCAAGCTGTGGAACTGTCATGGGATAGTGAAAAAGACTAAATATGCAAGATTTATTAAAAACGTGAAAAGCTTTGCCAAAATAAAGTCCATTTTAATTTGGCACTTCTTTAGCTGGACCGCAATATGGACTGTAATTCCATTAGCTGAAATTTCACTTTAGTGGATGACTTGTAATTCGCTGCATGCACAACGACAACCTACAGCACACGTCGACTGCAAGGCTGATCAGGAAGATTAAATACATGTTACAGGATTATCTTGACTCATTTAGCTTCTAAACACTGACTGACTGTTAAATAAGCAAATTCTTGCCATCATCTCTGGAGCTACTGCTGAAGCTACTCGTATGCCTTCAAAGTTGAACTTTTTTACTCTTTATGAACAACAGGAAAAAGCTCAGTCTCTTATTCCTGATTCCAATTTATTCCAGGTTATTAAAAACCAGTACATTCATTCACGAGCATGGTGTGGGTCTCTTGTATTAACCACTACAAAAAAAATATTAAGTTGTATTCTAATGCAGTCAGTAACTGTGACAACTGGCTGAAACCATTGTTGTTAGCATTAATTACTACATAAATAAAGGTATAACAGCCACTCAATTATGACATCAAAGTTCCAGGTGTTGGGGAACTCACTATTGGCACAGTTGTAGTTGTCCACCTTCTTGAAACCGGTGGGACATGCACAGGTATACGTCTTATTGCTGGGGAGACACAGATGGCTGCAGCCTCCATTGTTGGTGCCACAGCGGTTCCTGCCACCTACAGGAGAGAGAGAGAGGCACATAGCTCAGTATATGGTGATTTATGCGGTTAAAAGCTTCTTGCATAGGCAATTTTCAAAATTTTTTTTTTGCATTTGACCACGTCATCTCTCTTTCTCCCCTTGTTTTCAGCCTCTCCTCTACCATGTCTTATCAAATTAAAGCAAAAACTGCCAAAACCAATAGGTTTGATTACCAATAGGTAACCAAAGGTTATTTCTTACAGCATGGGTCTTGTTTGCATGATTTTACCCATCTTTCCTATTTTTAAGAAGTTTTTGTTCTGTGTATGAATTAAACGGTAGGAGATTTTTTCCCTAAACCTTTGGACAGAGCGAAGCTAAATGTCATTCTCTGCTTCCAGTCCTTATGCTAAGCTAATCCACTTCTGATGGCAATGTAGCTTCATAAATCTTAGAAAGAAAAAAAAAAAAACTATTTCCCAAAATGTCAAACTATCTCTTTAAATAGGAAGCAATCCTATTATATACTGTATGCATTTCATATTGGAAATAGATTTTACTTGAGCCTCTTTGGTTTGTTTAATTGATGCAGAATTCAAATAGATCATGACACGAGGCGGGATACATGACTCGCTGAATCTCATCCAGCACAAAGAGAAACGTGCCTGTCTGCTCTCTTCAGCACAGGCAGCTCACAATTTATATTCATGTCGGACTGTTCCAGTATTTTATTAGCCTGATAACCAAAACTTTCTTTTGGCCTGAACTCAAGTTCAACATTGCCTGTTAGCAAAGAACACAACTGTGTCTCATCATGTCAACACCAGAGTCTAACACAAGTGCAACAAATTATTCAGTAATTTCTGTTGAGTCTATTGCACACATCTAAGGTGGCTTTGCCTGACTGAAAAATCCTGATAAAGGCCCAATTTGTAACACTACCAATATGACTTTTTACATTTCTTGCTGTTTGTTACAAGATCCAGTTGAATTCCTCCAGTGTGATACTCTTGATTGCCCTGATTCATGCTGCTGCTTTGTGATCATTCAGTAATTTCACAACAGTGAAAGCAAAATCTATTCAAGTTTTTGATAAAACATATTAAAAACAGAGAACAATGAGGTCTTTAGAGACAGGGGATTCAACAGTATTATGACTTGACTTTACACTTTCATCCAGCTGCCAAGTGTCGGCTGATTGTTCCACTAATTATTTACAGTGAAAAAGGTGCATATAGTATGAAAAATTCACAAACTTTCAAAGCAGCTGTGTACCGACCTGCAGGCTGCCTCTGGGGGTGCAGGGTGTGGATGTCCATGGGGAAGTGCAGCTTGTTGCGGATAATCTCCTGGTTCTTGCCAGTGAATTTGTTGGCGCTATTGATACTCTTGGTGTGCCAGTCAGTCCAGTACAGGCTATCCTCAAACACTGTGATGGCAAAGGGGTGGGGCAGGCCTTAAGAGAGAAGGGAGAAATAAGAGTTCAGAAAGAAAGATGCTAACTGAAGTGTTGGCTTACAATGACAAGCCAGATACACCTTTCATGAAAGGATGAGATGAAGGGGGTTGATCATCAGAGGTGTTAAATCTGACAACCTTACAATGAGTAAAGCTACTGATTCTGCAAAGTTCATCTAGAGATTTGACGCCTCTTTCCAAAAAGAAAAAAATGGAAAGAACAAATGCTGCTCTTGGCCTGTTCCACTGTCCAAACATCCTCCCATTCAGCACTGTGGCCTTGGCTGATGTCACATTGTCCCCATTTAGAGCTGCTTTCAATTACTCTGCCTTTCATTGGCCTGTAGCTGTTTTAGTTGTGGCCAAGGCTCCCAAAAGCAGAGGCACTATATCGGTTGAGTTAAGTCATGTGACCTTTCTGTACAGAATCTGAATGCAAGATCAAGAGCAGCCCTTAAACCAGGTCAGACTAATCCAACAGGCTGATAACGACCATTTCTTTTTCTTGGTCTACAGTGAGCTTTTATTGAGTTTGCCGATGTTAACCGTTTTTATATAAATAACATCAGTACAGCCTATATTTCATTACCACTTAAAAGATCTACACACAGCATATGTGCTCAAATCAAAAGACATTTCAGTTTAAATGGGGAGTTTTAGTGTTTGGTGGTGGTTTAAATGCCCTTTAAAATGTGTCTGAGCTAAACAAAAGAAATGCTTTGGCGGAAACAATAAATGTTTAAGATTTTCTATTGACCTAGTTGTTTCTTTTTTCAATATCTTTATGGAACCCTAACCCCTCCAAAACATTTGAGGGCACATAAACCACATTTTGAACAGTACTCAGTTTACAACAACATTTGTGAGCACGCAGGCACATATTTATAAGCACAGAATCAGATTTGAGAGCGAGGGAGGACAGAATCGTGAGCATAACAGATGATGTGAGCAAACAGCAGGGATCCTCCCTTGCTCTCAAATCTGTTTCTGGTCTTGCAAATCCATGCCTGCACGCTCTCAAATTCTGATTTACAAACTGAAGATCACTCAAAACTTATTTTGTGCACTTTCAGAACTTGGTGCTTAGTTTGCAACTACTTTTGTGCTTGTACAAATTGTTGGCTTGTGCCAAAAAGTATCAGTACCAGTGTTTGCAGCCCATATCAGTGAAATCCTGGCCTAATCACTAACATTGTGTATCAAGGAACTCCTTTGCAGGTTTGTCTCCACTGGAAACATGCTCCAGGTGACTCCTTCACACTCATCGAAATTAACATTGCCTTTGTCTCTTCAGCTTAATCCTCCTACAGTGAAGTCACTACATACCCAGTTGGATAAAACGCTGAATGGATTGAAAAAGTGATTTCTGCTGCTACACAAAGCCGTGGTGGTGGTTGTGGTAGCGGCGTGGTGAGCGAGCTGGCGTAGGGCTTTTAAAAACAGTGCGGCTCACTTAAAGACAGTGTTTTACAGCACAGCGTAAATGTCAAGTGGTAAATGGCTAAAACTGGAGACACACCAGAATGACGATGAGCCACCAAGATCACAGTAAGTTTTTATTATTTTAATCTATTTATATGTTTCATTCCTATGTTTTTTGAACAGCTAACTATCTGTTTAATGGTCGGGTCTTCTGAGTGAACGCCTGCATTTTAAATGGACTGTATTTTATATAGCGCTTTCTCACAGTGTGTTGCACTGATCAAAGCGCTTTACAGGAGATCATACACCATTCACCCATTCACACACAACATTCACACACCGATGACGACAGGCTGCCATGCACCGGCGCTAGTCAAGCCACCGGGAGCAATTTGGGGTTCAGTGTCTTGCTCAGGGACACTTAGGCATGCGGGGAGACCGGGAGTCAAACCACCAATTTGCTGGTCAGGAGACGACTGCCCTACCTCATGAGCCACAGCCACCCACCCATTTTACTTCATGTTGCTTTCAAAAAATGTTTCCTAATACCTCAAATCTTTGCTAGAAATTGGGATTGGATGGTATTTTATTAGAGGTACCTCAATATCAGGAAATGTTGACTGATAAGTAACAAGAAATGATGTCAGTTTAAGCTCTGGGACTTTTTTCTTGATCGAATATCTGCTCTGCTGATGGTGCAGTGACTGAAAATGTGGCTTTATTATTGAATACTTACATTAGACCTAAATGTGTTGATGCTCCTCATATACATTTTTACTTGTATCTCAGCATTATGTCACTTTTCCCATTCTTAGTTTTGATATATTATAAACATATTTTTCATGTTTGTCTACCAAAATATGTGTTTTAAATGAAAACAAAATAGGTGATTTTCCAGTCAAAAATCAGTAAAGACAGCTGGAGCAAAAAATTAAATGCCGCCTCTACATCTTTGCCCTTGTCCCTCTGCCTCAGACAGTTGCATGTGAGGTGATACTGGGTGACTGTGTGTGTCTTCTGATCTAATTTAACATAAGGGACACAGCAGTATACCCTCTTTGCTCCCTCTGAATCGTCAACAACCACAGAGGCGCCTAGTTGTGATACGGTCACCTTCTTCCTTGTCATCCCTGCACCCCCACCCTCCAGCTCTTTCTTTCCGGGACAGCTGGAGGAGCAGCTGCAGGCAGACAGGGCATAAAATGTCCCACCCAGCCTTCACAGTAATGTCCCCTTTAACCTATTTGTGGCACCTCCTAGTCCTTTGATTCTGTCACACTATCTACACATAATCTATAACAGAACGTCACATCCAGCTATAAAATTAAATATGAAGACTCAAAGGGAAGACTGTCAGATTTCAGTGGTTGAAAAGGCCAGATATAAATGGAATAAAAAGTACATATTTGGCTATAGGAGATAGTTAAAAGGTTTGTTAAAAGAAGATCAGAAGTAGGGAAAAATAAAAATTCTAAATCATTTGGTGACTTCTAGTGGTAGTATTACAAAGTATTGGGACAGATTCAATTCACAAATTGTGGCTCTTTGCCATCCTCAGAGGATGAATCCTATTGATTGTAGTTACTCACATCATGAAGAAAAATTCACTGTTGGTATAAAACAAATACCAAAACATGACCCTTACTCAGACCTTAATTTAACCCTAACCTAACACTTAACCTTAAACCAGGTCATCACCCTAAAATTCAATGATTTACAGGCAGGCCAATCCCCATAGTGTGAGTGAGTGTAGACATGTTTCGGTCCCTACAGGAATCGGCTCTCTCTCACACACAGGAAAATACACACTCATTACCGTTCCTGAGGACAGTGGCTCGAATGTAACCATGCACACACATCCCATTTGTCCTGTGTGTTGTCTAAGCAAACAGAGGCTGTAGAGAAAGGACACGACCAATTACAGCCTTTTATCCTGAGAGCACATATTATTAAAGAGAGCTCAGAATGCTGTTGGCGCACTCTGCAACAATTTCCCTGTCCCTCTTTCCGATCACATTCAAACACTCTTGATCATCACTGATGTGTTTACACACACACTTCATTGGAAAAAAAATTATTTTCTTTATTCCAGTTGGAAGCCACAGTGATTTATCATGGTGTATCGACCTGAAGTTAACTGTATAAATCTGAAATGTTGAAATGCTGTCAAACCGTGTTTCTCGAACAAGCACAACAACCTGGTTTTGTGCTGTTGCATCTCTTGCCAGCCATTAAAATTATCACACCACTAACCAACAGTTATCAGGGTGTCCTGCTGGTCTGCTGACGGAGAAACATGAAAAGCAGAGTGCAAATGCAGAGTGGAAATGACTAAAACTATCAGCCAAAAGCTGAGAAAAACAAATGTTACTGCAGGCTAGAGTGTATGTGACAGATCAGTATCCTGTCTGCTTACATCTGCAAATGCCAGATCCCCATTTTTAGTATGCACACACGCACACGCACGCACACACACACACACAAGCTTGAACGTACAATATAAATAGAGGAGCGCACAACTTTACTGTATGGTGTCATTTATGGCTTCTCTGTGTGTGTCTGTGCATTTCAGTGGTAAGCACATGTGTATGCTTTTTCACAGAAATATGGTATTGATTAACTGTACATGGTGTAATGAAGTAGCATCAGTGTGCTACATCCTATAGCTATTCCCCGATGTACTGTATGCGGGTATGTGTTTTTTTGTGGGTGTGTGCTCGTGTGCCTTTGTATTACTTACATTATGGGGACTGAAACCTGTTAACACACTCACATTGTGGGGACAAGGAAATCGCTGAATTTTAGGGTGGCAATATGGTTTAAGGTAAGGGCGAGGTTAGGTGTTAGGCAAGTAGTGGTTATGGTTAAGGTTAGGATAAATCCACTTAAAAAATAAAAATCACCCTAACAGTCTACAGGAAATAAATGTAAGTCAATGTAAAGTCCCCACAAGGGATGAAAACACAGTGTGTGTGTGTGTGTGTGTGTGTGTGTGTGTGTGTGTTTGGGGGCTGGGGGAGTAGGGTTGTAATGAGAATCTGAACTCCAGCCAAACCTTTGAACACCACATCTCTTCTGTTTCTGAGGACTAAACCAAAGCATCAGAACTGTGTTTGGGTATGTTTACATTTTATTAAATCAAATTATACCTTTTGGTTCCTGGTTCCAATATGTCAAAAGCATGAACCGCCTTGATTTTCTAAAGATTCCGGATGTCATGAATGCTCATAAATGATGACATATTCAGTGCTTCTTCAGTGTCTCCTCTTCAATATATATGTTTCTTATTGAATACAGATTTTCTTATACTTTCTGCTCAAGCCTGTAATGAAATCTGCAGTCAAACATAGCACTTAATATTGCTCTTTCTTATCTTATCTTTCTTGTCAATTCTATCCATTCTTATTATCCTTCTTTCACAAGCAAAGCTTTCCACCAGTCAATCATAGGACTTTTATTTGTGAAGCAGCAGCAGGTTTCTCTAGTTTTCAATGCTGAAATATCCTTATATTTCATTAAGTACATGGACATATTTGATGCAGTTTTTACCAAGATCTACCAAATGCCAGGAATAGTTCACTGAGTGAAACTCCAATAATAGCTGCCACTGACCATAAACATATACTTAAATGTCAAGGAAAAAAGAAGGGTAGTACATTCACACTTGGAACCAAAAAGCATGTTTCTTAATAACCTCCCAGTTCTACCTGTATCAAACTCCTATTCTGAACTGGCTCTCAATCATCAACCCAAGGCAGAAAAAACACAGACAGCAGGTTGGAGTATACCTTGGCTGATAACGGCCTTGCGGTTGCGTCCGTCCAGGTCAGCCCTCTCAATGACATGGTGCTTTGCATCCACCCAGTACATGCGGCGGCCAGCGTAGTCGATAGTGAGGCCATTAGGCCAAAAGAGGTGTGTGTCTGCAATGACCCGCCGGTTGGAGCCATCCATATTTGCATACTCGATGCGAGGTGTGTTTCCCCAGTCTGTCCAGTAGATCTTACTGAGGAGGAACACAGTCAGATTACCTGCTTATACCTGGAGAATTGCAGTTCTTGTGTAGAATGAGCTGATCCTCATGGCAGCCTCTAAAGATCAGAGTTAAGGATTCAAGACAGTAGATGAAGTCTCCTATGTCCTGTCACGGCCACCTCATCATCACTCATCTGCTCTGACCAGCCTCGGAAGGTAAAGCTACTTTTCTATTTTGCCATGCAAATGAGCTACCTAATAAGCTGAATGAGTTTTCTTGCTTTTAATTTCTCTGGAGTCTTATCCAACACTCTCTCCAGCCACTGCAACATATGGGGAGAAAAACAGCTGCCTCTTTATTACTTGTTCCACACAGATTCTAGCCTGTGGCCACTGCTGTGCTGCCAAACATTAAATCCCAGCTCTGCTTCTACACTACAACTGGGACATGTCTAGAGGGGATATTGATATATGTGTGTGTAGGTACATGTGAAATCATCAGTAGTAAAATATATAGAAAGTGTGTGTGTGTGTGTGTGTGTGTGTGCGTGTGTGTGTGTCGTACCCTTCTATGGGGTGCAGCGCAATGGCTCGCGGCTTCTCCATGTTCTGCCACAACAACACCTTGCGATGTGTCCCATGCAGATTGGCCACCTCTATACGGGATGTCCCAGAGTCTGTCCAGTACAACTTGTCATGGATCCAGTCTATGGCCAGTCCACCTAAAGGAGAGAAAAACATATCTCAATATAAACCCATTTTGTTTTTTCCTTAATGTTTTTCTGCTTGATACTTGCTGGTGTTCAGATTTTTGGAAAAGTTCTAAAAAAAAGAAGATTTTTCTTCTTTCATTTTGTCATTCCATTTAAAGGAAAAGTTCAACTTTTTCTGCTGGTCGCCTACTGTAGTAACAGGAAGACAATAGGGTTGTAGGAAACCTGTGCTCACTGAAAATATCTGGCAAACCATGCTACAGCCAGATACCACACAGACGCAGTGAGGGAAAGAATAAACTGCTCATCATTAAATAGTAACAGCACATAACTACACCTAAACTACAAAACTAATTAGACACACCTCTTCATGGTTCAATGCCTCCACCAACCACTTAAATTCATGGGGATGGGACTTAACCGTCGATCTTCATCCACCAAAATATAGTCAGTTCATCCTTAAGTCCAAGTGGACATTGCTGCCAAATTTGAAGAAATTCCCTCAAGGTGTTTTTGACATGTTGTGTTCACATGAATGGGACGTACAGACAACCTGAAACCATAATGCCTCCAGGTGTGGCTATCACTGGCACGGAGGCATAAAAACAGTTGCTTTTACACTTCTGATCATGCACACCTTCAACCCACAAGACACAACATGTTAGCTAGTGAGCTTTAGGTGAATCAAGCTTGTTGCTTCCCTCTATTCTTCAAGTTTCTTGCTAAGACTGACTAACTGAGACAGTTCCAGTGTAATGGAGTCACACTGCTGAACTCCTATGTGAGAAAGGTGATGGATGAAAAGAGGGAGAGAGAGTATACTTGGACAGAAAGCAGCAGAGTTGAATAAACTGGATAAATGATGAATGAGCCTGCTGTCCTACATTTGAACCAGAGGCTTGTTGGCTGCTGTACCCACCTGGGCTCTCAAGACCGGTGGAGATGACCTCCTCTACATTGGAACCATTGAGGTTGGCCTTCATGATGCGGTCCAGTGTCACATCTGACCAGAAGACCAGCTCGCGGCTGTGGTGGAAGTCCAGGGCAATGGCATTCTCCAGGTTGTTGAGCAGCAATGTGTACTCGGAGCGATGCGGCAAAACCTGACGGATGTCGATACGGTTGGCAAACAGCAAAACTGGCTCTGGACCTGAAGGAGGGCAGAAAGAGGAGACGATTTATGAATGATGAATTAAAGTGAAACAAAGAACACAGAGGAGCCAAACATTAGGTAAAAGTTGGAAAGTAACAAAAGAAAAAAAGAGACAAAAAAATCTGAGTTTGGACTGATGGTCACTTTTAATCACAGTGAGCATTCATCTCAATGGATGTGAGGTTCTGGATCTTGGCAGCTGCCTGACAGACAGTCCTGATGTGGGTTTGCAGCAGACTGATGAGCGGCTGTACTGGGCCTGAACTTGACCTCTGCTGCATATCTAAATCTAGTCCAGGTACTCCAAATGAGCCAAAGTCATTGTGAGTCCAAGACCCCAGAGCAGAGGAATGGATAGTGTTACTGCTGAGTTAAATATAAACACTATGCAATAGTTTACGGTAGCTCAAACCCCAACCACTCTCTGTGGTCACATGTCAAGGTTGAAACCCAGCACAGTGGTTTTTACCCAGAGCTTTGCAGCTGCGCTTGTCGGGTCGAAGCTCGTAGCCCTGAACGCACCAGCACTGGAACCCTCCCTCTGTGTTGGTACAGCCCTGGCTGCAATAGCCTTCTTCTGCACACTCATCCACATCTGGAATAAACCGTAGAGGCAGAAGACAGGAATTGTGGGACAGAAAAATGCTGGCGTCAATTTCCCTCGGGGCAAACAATGAATTCAAGACACACAGTGAGAAGAGGTGGCTGGAAGGTGAAAAACTAATTCACAGTTTAAGAACACATGCACACCCTGCTTCTTGTTACACTCATTCAATTTTAAATTAATCTCTTGACCTTGCAAAAACACACGTCGAATCAGGAAACACAGGTAGAACTGAATGTCTCAATCAATATCTACATTCTGGCCATGAAACTTGTTGCACCAACTTCAGTAATTTCTCAGATCCATGAAGTTCAGTGGCAATTTCGTCATGCTTTAGGAAAAAACCCTGCTGACATAAAGACAAACTGACTAACTATAAAAACTGAATGTCGTCAATGCCTGGCCATGTTTAGTTAGTATCAGACAGATAGCAGCTATATTTTTAAATATTTCTTTAGTTTTTATTTACATTTTTTTCCCCTCCTGATTCCTTAATAGGAGTCAGGGAGTACATTTAATATAATGGCTGCAGTTTTGGGACATTTTTTTTGTTTTCCTAGACATGTTTAATTCACTTGTTACCTTGGCTGGTGCTCTACCTGAAATTATCACTCCTCAACTTCTTCACATTTATGTTCCCTTTGTCTCATACACCAACACAGAGTTGCAACTTGAGTGAACACATTGTCTTCCAAAGAATGAGTTAACGTTGTAGCACAAGAAGATTCATTTTATAGCAATGTCATATTCAGTAAATCAGTGACGCTACATTTATCCCAAGGTAACTGAGCAACTGACCAAATGTCACACTCTGCAGAGGTCATGAATATCAACACCCTCAGCCTGCTTGCTCACTTTCAAAGCAGATGCTGATTTCAGACTGTAATGTCCACACACACGCACGCATGCAGGCTAACACACACCCTGGCATGTTTTGCTGTCGTCCATCAGTCGGTATCCAGTGTGACAGGTGCACTGGACCAGTCCTCTGACCATCTGACACTTCTGGGAGCAGCCACCATTATTCTGGTTACAGTTGCCCTTGCTGGAGCGTGGACCTTCGCACCACAAGGAAACATTACAGCAGCAAGCTGAATCAGTATAAACATAACCACACACTGAAAAAGTATCTGATTCCTATAATGTGTTGAGCCTTGAAATATTTTTGGCTAGATAGTGCGTGAGCATGGTAATGTGGGTCAGTCTGGTCCAGGTTTGACCAGCAGTTGGGTTCTGCAGACTAACTAGGTTTACTTTTTTGTGGATTTTTATGCCCACTAGGAAGATTAATCACATTCATGTGTTTTGTGACTCCCTGACCTTTACATTCAGGTCTAAAATTCCACTGAACACATGCATGTCCTCCTTACCACAATCCTTGCCATTTGAACTCTCAGGTGGATGTGTCCAAATTACATACACGTATTACTATTAATTCATATTCTAACAGACAAACTGCAATAAAGATTTGCTGAGAACATTAATGCTCACCAGGGGAATAAACTCTTTGATGAATAACATTGTAATAACACTATATAACACAGAAATGTCCCTATTAAGTGAAAGGGAAAAAAGGCCAAACTAAAAGTCTTAATGCTTGGTCATCACACTGCTGTACAGGGGGTGATATCAACTCACGGCAGTCATGGTGTGGGTGTTCGTCAGTCCCGTCTCCGCAGTCGTTGACTTCATTACACACCTTCCTCTGACCGATACACCTTCCATTCCCACACTGGAACTGATCAGGAGCACACGGAGGAGTCTCTGTGGGAAGACAACATTTATCTGCCAACAGGGCTAGAGTTTTCTACACTATTTACTAAAGCATGCATCCTTTAAATATCTCTGGTTGTATTACAGTAGATCTTTGTGTGCAATTAACTAGCAAGGCTACTTTGTATATTGTACTATCGCATTTTTAGGATGATAGAGTGCATTGCTGTGTTAGGCATCTCAATTTCACGATTAGCTAAAAACATTCCTATTTGTTATTTTATCAAATGTTTGAGTTTGTTAAGATAGTACTATATTGTGTAAAAATATATGTAAACTGATATAAAATTGTAACCATGACCAAATCCTTGACTTAATCATTTAAAGGACTGTTTGGTCAAGAAGTTAGACACTGGTCCAGCTTCCAGTCTCCACACTCTCCTCCTCTTACTTCTGGCTCCTTAAACAGTCTCCCACTCTGCCCTTTACTTAACAAACAGTTATTACTCATCCATGAGTCATGATGCATTACAATAAGTAATTTTAGCTGCAAGTACATCTCCAGCACTTACTGTATTAAGGGAGCTAAAGTGGGTTATTTTGGATTCCAGTTAACCTCTCCTACCACAATGGACTGACCACTGAGTCCAATAATACATGTGCTGGAAAGTCTCACAGTGTAGGCAGAAACTCCCAACAGGTCAGGTCTAAGTACAAGGAAAAATACCAGAAAAGATGGAAAGGACAAAATAGGCACAACTGTGCAGCCAAAGCAATGACACCGTGGATTTGAATATTTCACTGCATATGAATGAATTGCTGTAACAAGCAAGTTCAGTAAAAAAAAATTTAAAGCATAGCCTACATGAAAATGATAATGATGATTAACTTTGAACCTATATAAGGGGGAAAACTAAGTAAAGTTTAAGGTCCAAAAGCTTCATGCAAAATGATCTGGTATACCCTTGCCATCACACGTCAGGATACATGCGGATATTATGCCAGAAATAAGTAAAACATGTTCTTTTTCAACCTTTCTCTGCTGCCTGTTTATTTTTTCAGTCTTACATGAATGACTGGCAAGATTGCCAGTCTACTGATGGGAAGCCAATAGTTTCTCAAAAAAAAAAAAGTGAGTTTGTCAGCAGAGGGTTGTTCTGAGCTGTTGTCATGACTACAACTGAAGCTGATGTTATATTTAGCTTTCAAAAACAAGATAACAACCACAGCCTTACCAGTTTTCTCACAGCCCTCTTCATCGCTGCGATCCAAGCAATCATCCTCACCATCGCATCTCCATGACAACCGGACGCAGCGTCCAGTTCCACAGCGGAACTGGTCAGCCGTGCACATGGATGTGGCTGCAGGGACACACACGCAAATTTTGTTCTTTCATGCTTTGATCAGGTGAGTTGAGATATTCTGAAAACATACGTTTTTAGATAAACAACCCCATACAGTGTAGAGAGCTCTAACGAGATATTGAAATTTTGAATGATGCCCTGATGAATGGTGAAAGCTGCAACTCACTGCAATTCTTCTCATCTGACTGATCGTCACAGTCGAACTCGCCGTCACACCTCCAGCCGGCGTTGATGCACATCCCGCTGCTGCACATGAATTCAACTGATCTGCAGGGCTGATGAGACGCTATGCATACACACATGCACACAATGCCATTAGAAATATGACAATCACAGCAGGCGACAACGTCACAGCTGTAATTTAACAGCCTGTATTGCAGTAAAAAAAATCATTATGTGAAGTGCTGTTTAATATCATGCTCTTGACTTCCTCTGATAATTAATGGTGAAATGATTATTTGATTAATTAATCAAAATTCTGTCAAATTTTGATAATGAAATCATTATTTTTTAACAAAAAAATTCAAATATTACGAGATGAGCTCCTTAAAAGTAAAAATTTGCTGATTTTCTTTCTTTATAATTTAAATAAATATCTTTTTGGCCTGTGAATTGGATAAAACAAGGAAATTAAGGAAACTTATTTCATTATTTTCATACATTTTATAGACTAAACTATTAACTGAGCACAAACAAAAGGTCCAGGCTAAGACAAACTTCTAATATAAGAAGGACAATTTTAGTATCAACCTGACAGAGAACAAGCTATCAAACTGCACAATAAAACTCTTATATGCACACCTGACACACATGGATCACGTCTGAGTTTTCCACCTGTCATTAAACACACCATATATTTGTGGATTTGAGACTGAGAAATCCTCTCAAAACCTTGCACATGAGCATAATGTGATTCATGTGCCAGGCGATCTGTGCACACACTTTTAACGTTCTGTACACAGAACATCGTTTTTTTACACACTTGTAAATCTTTATTTTATCTGCAGATTGACAAACACACACTTGTGGCCTTGATGAAACATGCACAAATTGGTTTTTACACATTTGTAACTTTTACTCTAGTTGTAAATCACTGAATACACATTTGTGGCTAGTTATCAGAGGATATTACCCCCATAGATTCTTTATAAAAAAAAGGTTTGCACCTGCAGAAAAATTTCACAAACACTCAATTTGCCCTAACGTTGGCAATGCACCTGCAGAAAAACAGTGCTCACAGTGTTTTATACCAGTGATATTGTTTCCCATTAACAATAATTGGTTCAGTTTACTTTGACTGCCTTATGATCATCTCCCCCACCACATCTCTACATGTGATCAGATCAAAGTGAAACTCAAACTGGCAGCAGATGAGGACAGAGGTGGAGGAGAAGATTAAAGTTAAATCAAACATAAGCATCTTAAATCCTGAGTGTGTGTGAGCTTGTGCACATGTGTCTGTATGCCTTTGATAGGTTTCATCCTGACAACATGAGCCGGCTCCCATCAAAACTAAAGTGGGCGTGAGATAAGGGAAGAATGAAATGAGGGAGGGAATGCAGGGGAGGAAAGGCCAAAAAAGAGAGAGATGCTTTAGAGCTTCAAGCATCCCTGTGCAGGCTTATCAGCTGGGTGAGAGGAGAGGGAGATTAACAAAACAGCAGGTGGCTCTCCCACAGAGGGAGAGAAAGAGGCAGAGAGAGAGACTTATAGACCAAGAATCAGTGTGGACATCAACAAATACACTGACACCCACATGTACACACTTGATTCAAAGGATTCATACACCCTTTATCTCTCTCTTTGTCTCGCTTTCTTTCTCTCACTCTATCCTCTTTCTCTCTCTCTCTCTCTCTCTCACACACACACACACACACACACACACACACCAACTACGCTCTTTGATCTGCTCAGCTATGCAGCTAAACACAGCATCAGTGTGAGCAGTAACAAGGCATGCAAGTGTGAGGCTTTTTATTTGTGTGTGCATGTGTGTGTATGTATGGGGGGGAGAGAGAGAAGATTCTTCTGTAACAAAGCGCCCTTCATGTGTCGGGAGAGTCAATGCCAAGGAATGCTGTCTGAGGATGGGCTGTCTTATGCCTCTGAGGAATGTCTCCTGTGTGTATATGTGTGTGCATATGGGTGACCGCAAGATGTCCTAAGACTTTCTTCCCACATTTCTTTAAATAAATAACAAAAATAAAAGGGCAGTTTAAGAGGGCTGGACAACAGGAAATGAATATTTAGAGGACATGAGGTGCAGCTGCTCTCAATGCATCTGACGGGATGTAAAATGATCTAATAACCACAGTGGTTCATAGAGTGGCTATGCACTTCAGGAACGAAGCCGCAATTTAAAAAACCTAGATGTGAAAGGAGATGAGAACAACACCAAGATCAGCTCAGTCAACTTACAGATGATCCAATGATGTTATGAAACCTTGAAGCGGTGGTTATCGCAGTGTAGATAAACACATCAAAATGAGGAAAACACCATGTATCAGTGTGATTTAGGGAGTGTGTGTGTGAGAGAAAGAGAGATACGTTGAGCAATTATAGGCAATGAGCTAATGAAATGAACATGCAAGAAATCAGAGAGCAGAAAATGAGGAGGGAGATGCTGAGAGACTTGTCAACAGCATTTCTGAAGCAGAGAGCGAAACATGATAGTCTGTGTTAATCATGACCTTGGCTTCACTCTGTGTGTGCTTGAAGCATGTGTGTGTGACACAGTGACAGAAAAGATGTAACAGAGTGTTTTACAGTTCTGACAGATGCTGTCGAGCGGCAGCCAGCAAACAGCAGCTGTTCCTGAGCTCAACCTGCCATCAATGGAACATCAAGATATGAAATCAGCATCAAACATAAAGACGAAAATACAGGTTGTTTGACACTAAAACATCTAAAACTTCAAATCTTCAATCTTCTACTTTAAACTTCATTTGAAGTAGTGGGGAAAACTGTAGAACATAAGGATGATTCTTTGATTTGGAGGGAGAGAGTGAGGCACAGAAGAAGACAGAATAGAGTGAGAAAAGAAACAAATCGCTCATCTATCAGCATAACAGAAGACTGGTCTCCTAAGGGAGCTTAATCTTGGTCTCCTGCGCAAAACACTGTTTATTGGGAGCCAGGAGCGCTGCCATGGATGCTAAAGAATAGGCGTTTATCTGTGCATGTGTGTATAGGCAGATTACAGCAGCTCACTGTGAGCATTACACCAACAGCAAAAGATTAGCTTCCTGTTGGATTAAATTTAGTCAAATTCAGGATTAAGTGAATTTTTTTTTTTTTTGTAAAAGTTAAAGGAAACATGGGCCATAACATTAAATATGTGTAGGAGGGAATGATTTTTTCCTATAAGATTGAAGGTTAACAGGCACCTGAAGTCAGTGCTGGTTCTTCATAATACTGAAATGTGCCTGTGTGTGAGTGACGGAGCACTTACAACAGTCTGACTCGTCCGACCAGTCTCCACAGTCGTCGTCTCCATCACAGTGGTAGATGTCCAGAATACAGCGGCCGTATGCACACTGGAACTCCTCCACACTGCAGGTGGCTGTCATCACATCTGAAGCTGCACAAACACACACAGAGACACAGACATGGGAAACAGATGTTCATAGCGACAAAGCTGGTGCAGCACTTGTCTGAGGTATTCTGAGAACTTCAACTTTTCCCTTCTGACTCTGTAAGCATGTATACATGAAATGACAGTGAACATGTTTACATGCTCTATAGTAAACTGTTACTGTACTGTGCTGCTGTTAGTAACCAGATTTATCCCCTTCTTGCAGCTGTAGTGCTGAATCCTGATGCTGCAGCGTGAAGAGCTCTGGACCACAGTTTGGATTGACTTTGACTACAGAGAACAGTCTATCTTGCAAAAGAGAAGATGGTTTGTCATCTCTGAATTTTCCAAATAACTTAATGTTCAGATGTGGAAACTTATTTATTTAAACTCACTTAAGATTTGGATTTAATTACATTGCAGTTAAGGACAAACCAGTCTATGAGCAATGGCTTCTTTTTCATCCTGTAACTCTGCTGCCAGAGATAAGTTCCCTGTCTGAAGCCTTTATGAAACACTCGCTGTCTTATGAAAAAACCTGTTCAAAAGCCAAAGATAGTCATAATTTTTTTTCTTTTGTACTACAGGATTTAATTTTTTTTTTTAGTTTTTTTTTTTTAATCTTATTACTTCCCTGAATCTACCTGGCTATAAAGAAAGCACTTCTAGCCTTTAGTGGTTGCACAAAACTAAAGATGGTTTTCCAGAGAAAGACATACCACACTTTTATTTTAGTACAATTATTAAAAGTTATATCCTTTTTTTCTATATTAAAACCACACAACTATAAATGAGTTATTTGGTCAAATATGGCAGTTAAATATTACCAAACTTTGTTGACACTGAGTCTCTTGATTCTAACATACGCAGTCGTCTGGCAGTATAAATATTAAAATATTTCCACACTCGTGCTGTATGATCTGTCATGCTGACCTATAAGATTGTCAGCTCAGAAAACCATTGGTGGTGTCAGAAAGTTGGTCTCTTAATTTGGCTGCTACAATAAAATATTTTACCATGTCTATGAAGTGAAAGTATTTAAAGTTTTAGCTGCACAAACTACATAGTGAGGCCATACTTTCAGGCCTTAATACAAGAAGCTGTCAGCCTTTTGCTTACTGTTCCTTACTTAAGGACACACACACACAAACACACACTCAGAGTAACTTACGACAATTTTCCTCATCTGATCCATCTTTACAGTCTGTGTCTCCATCACAGTACCAGTGCTCAGCGATGCAGCTGCCGTCCGTGCAGCGGAACTCCTTGTCTGAACATTTACGCATGTCTGGCATGGAAAAAAAAAGTCATATTAAGATGAGGGTGTAAATGAATATTTGCGTACATAATGGTTTCCATGTGTATGTCTCAGTCTGTGTACCCACCACACTGTTCATCACTGTTGTCCCCGCAATCATTGTCACCATCACAGTGCCAGAGGCTACGAATACAGTAGCCATTCTGGCAGTGAAACTCGTCCTCCTCACACTCCCGGGGAGCTACAGAGAGAAAATGAAAGAGAGAGGTTGCAGAGGATAAATTATGAGGACACAATAAAAGCAAAGAGCAGACACTGTACAAGAATGCAATAAGAGGCAGCTGTCCCTGAGCTCTGCTGGCACTGTATCTAAAACTGCACTGACATCAGGGAAACTGTGGCCTTTTATCTCATGCTCAAAGCACAGAGCTGGGAAGAAGAAACAGATATTTTCTCTCCATAAACAGGCCGAACACTTCCAAAGCTGCAGGTCTAGGGCTCAGAGACTCCTGTGGTTTGATCTCAGCACAAAAAAATCCAATCTACAGCTACTGCAACGCAATGAGGAGGATGGCTGAATAAAGCTATAGTAAATATATGAGAGTTGTCTTTACAGTCACTGATCAAGTCACTGTACTAACAGAGCAAAAACATTTGCTACAGTAATAACTATTGTGTCCAGAGATCGGGTCATCGGGGCCCCTGCCTTCGACTGCTGCCCAATCCACTGTGCACCAGCCCCTTACGGATCCTCCTGCAGGTGGTGGGCCCACGGGAGGACGTCCCCACGTCGCTCGTTTGGGCTAAGCCCGGCCGTGCCCCGTGAGGGGAGGCCCGGCGACCAGGTGCTCGCATTCGAGCCCGGCTCCAGGGTGGGGCCCCGGCTGCGCTATGCCAGGCGACCATTCCCCCGGAGGAGCTGGAGGAAGTGTCTGGAGAGAGGGAAGTCTGGGCATCTTTGCTTAAACTGCTGCCCCCACGACCCGGTCCCGGATAAGCGGAAGAAAATGGATGGATGGATGGAATAACTATTGTATATACAGCACTTTTCCAAGATGAGTAACAAATGTTTACATGTGACACCAAACCGCCTTAACGAGTAGCTGTAAAAATGTGATGGCTCATCCCTCTGAGAACTGTAGTCACAGCTTAGAATAATGTTCGTTACAACGAATGCCAACGTGCTAACAGTGACAAGCTTTCAATTTGTGTGTGTAAGTGGGGTGGGGGGTTTAAATGTGTATAGTATTCAATCAGAAGCTGAAAGATATAATTTCAGATGAAGGCAGGGTCGCAATTAATGCTTAATCACCACCGGCTGCCTGTGTGCTCAGTATGTTCCAACACAGGGTTAAATACGCTGCATCCATTTGAATCCTTGACCCTTGATGACCTCACAAAATGGTTTCTTCTCTATTTAGTAAATGTATAATGAGAAACAAGGACAGGCCAAAACATTTTTATTCTAAATTAATTCCCGACTCCTTTACAATTTAAAGCAGCTTGAATTCAGGACTGGTTTAATGTAACAAATCTGAGCATCAGCAGCTTGTTTTATGTCTTAACTAAATATCGTAAGTGGCTGCTGCACATCAGGAAATATTGCTTCACTAGACAGTTTACCTTCAGGGTGGAAATAAAAGACATATTTGTGATTCATACCGACCAACTTTGAGCATTGTGACATTGCCAGTGTTTCACTTTCAAACCCTTTAATTTATCCAAATGACTCCTCCACATCGGGTCTTTAATTACACCCTCAATGATAAAAGACCAAATGAATTTTCAAAACACCACCTTCTACTGTTACCGCTGCAATCGATGGCTACGTTCAGCCATGGTTGCCTGAGTAAACAGCTTCGTCAAAGAGAGCCAATAATGGATGGCCCCTGGCTGGAGGTAATCTATAATTTATCGCTGCCATGTGTGAGTGTTAGACAGCTGGGACGAACAGAGAGAGATAAGGAGAGACAGCAACAGAAAGATGTTCACAGAATAAAGGGACAAACCATAAAGAAGTTGAAGGGTTCCTTTATTTCAGTGCGATCTTTTCTCAGGTGTGTTTTGAGGCATGGCAGAACGAGGCGAGACTACTGGAGACGCACTCCACTTTTGAGATGACTGACATGACACAAGGACCCAGTGTTTGTGTACATGCATCAGAGACCTCAATAGATTTTTGTAGTAGCCCATAAAAAGTCTGTAAAGGAAATGCTTTCAAGATGCTTTGACTGATATTTTATATAATGAATACATTTTTTAAAAACAGTCATGGCTGCATTACAAAATAATTTAGGGGAAATATAAGCAAGAACACCATTCAACTCGCATTACTATGAAATTCTTATTGATATACCAAATAATGTATTATCTGTGGAAATGAAAATATGTAAATTCGTTTTTCTTGTTTTGTATTTTTTTCATTCTTATGTTTGTACAGTTTCAGTGGTTCATTCAAAAGCAATTACCTGCAGCAACTACCCATCCAATTTTCCAATGTACATAAAGGCACACAATTTGGCATACAGTGTTTTAATACGAGCACCGTTTCACAAATGGTCAAGGGTCCATTAAAATAATAAAAATACACATTTGCCCTTACTACTATTGGCTTCCAACCATGCAGATGGTTTCTGTTTTACATGCTGAAATTTTCAAATAGATGGATTATTGTCAGTGGTGCCAGGTGAAATACACTGAAGTCAAAAGCGATATTGTGGTTGGTCAACCCAGAGGTTGATAACTTGTATTGCACTTTCTTGTTACTACATGGTCAAAATACAACATATACATGTGATAAGCAAATATCACCTGATATATGAGTCAGCCGCTACTTTCCACTGCTAAACCTCAGCTTGACCTCACCCACACTGACCTCTCCACAGCCAAATGCCCCCCCTACAAAAAAGGATTAAAAACCCACAAAGGCCCAAACGGTGGGTTCAAATGAAAATTCAATGTAACGTGCACTATCGACAAACACACTCATTTAATCTATTGTTCAACTTGAAAAAAAATAATTGATTATCTCTCTCCTTCTGTCTCTCCCATGCTCTCTCTCCCCTCCCATCAGCGGGGTAAACAAAAGGAGGTCAGAGGTCAACAAGCCCTCAATACACCCATCGTTCACAGAGTGAACGTCAAAGGGCAAAGGGCACTGGGTGTCATTACCAGGCTGCCTGCATGTGTTTGTTTGTGGTGAAATGGAGTCATGTTTTATTCTGGAAATGTGTTTTAAATTGCAAAACTATCTCATGTTCATACACACACACACACACGCATCCACCCAGAGACGCACTTCAGTCTCTACGTTTGTCTGAAATCTTGACAACTGCTTTAGTTCCAGCTGAGGCATGGAGGATTGCCTGAAATAAAACCAATGCATAGCGGGGAGAAACAAAATATATTGGGAAGTGAAAGACAGACCAGGGTGAAAAAAAATGAAGAGAAAGAAAAAACATTAAATAATAACTAGTTTGGGGAAAACAGGGAAGGGAGGAAAATTTACTGGGCATGAAGATGAAAAATTCATAGCTAGCTCACAGCAGACAGAACCCCAACCCCCAAATCAAGAAGTGATTTGCTGTCTGGCTTCTGATATAGTATGTGGGTCAACAGAAAAGAAATCACTGGATGAAAGATCACTCAGTCGAGAAACAACTAACCAGTTTGTGCTGTACACACAAACTACATGAGTTCCAAGAACATAAAGACAAGGTATGGAAAACAATCACTGCGGTGAGATTACGTTGTAATTTAAGTGCAGTCAATAATGGCATCATCAACTTTCTGATGAACAACGTCAGTCTGTAAATCCAAAACACTTTGGTCCAGAATAAAATATCCCAACAAGCACTCAGTGGATTGCAATTAGGCACAGACATTCATGTAGTGTTTCACAGCATATTAAAATATTAAAATCAGCATAATAACCCCAGAATTATGATGCATTCAGATAAAAGAAGTTTATAAGCAGGCCACAGTTGGATACAAAGTATGACTAGACAAAGTCAGAGCGATGTAAACAAAGGCAAATGCTCATAAACATGGCATTAAAACATTTCATGCTTATTCCAGAGGTTGAATGAAAGTAGCATTAGTTCATAAACTGCCAGAATAGATGAAAAAGGAGAGGGAGACAGGAGGACTATAACAGAAACAGTGGAGTAAATGGGGCGTTCTAAGACCAGTAAGATGCTGTGCTGCCACACGAACACACACAAGCAGGGAGCTACCCAGATACACAGTCATTGCTAGCCAGATTATAGCGTACATCTGCACCCTGCTGGCACTTTAAGCAGTTTGGGGTGAACAAACACAAGACTGCACAAATGGACCAGCGAATAACATGAGATGAAGATTTACTTTGCCTTCTGTCACTATAGATGCCATGACAGCTCCCAGAAGTGAAGCCACCGTGACTTCATCGCCCCCTGGTGGCCAGTTGCAGTATAGGTCATAATCTCCGCCTCCTCCATGTTAGTGGATGAGACATGAGCCAAACTAAAAACTCAAAGTACAAATCAGATAAATGCTTCCCAGAAGAGATATCTGTGGTTTTTGTTAGGCATAATCATGCTGATCTATTTACAAGTGGTCATTTTTCAGTTTAAATTGTTTTAATAAGTTATTTGATGATGTAAAAAGGGGTGTATTTCTTGTTGATTTCATCACTACTGTGCAGATTCTGGATGCAAAATGTCGCCGTAGTCACGATATTTCGGCTTCATTTTTGCATAGTGGAGGGAAGTAGTGATGCGTTGTCCATATTTTTATATAGAATCAATGGTCTGAACACATCTTTAGAAAGCAAATGCTGTCATGGTTACATGCTAACATTTACGTATACTAACATATTCGCACACCTGCAATCTGGTCTGCAGATACAGTATCGACCTGCTGATTCACAAATCTTCTGAACTGAGCAAACACAAGAAGCCTCCTTCATCAGCATCCACCAGCAGGTTCTTACGGCCACAGCAGACACCAATCAACTTGTAGTCACAGCTTTGAGTAGGCCTTTCCACAACAAAGAGAATGTGACTCATTCAAATTCCATGTCCCAGTTCAGTGTGACAACACATTTTGGTTGATCAGATGTGTTTGGTTGCTTCTATCACCGCATGATCCAGCTCATCATCAGCTGACTGAAGCCCAATACCTAAACAGTCCTCATGCTTTGGGTTTTTGGTATTATTGACTTTTAATTATAAGATCTAATGTTGAAGTATGTGTTTCTTTTTAAGTAGAGGGTGAAGACACTCGATCTAAAAGGAGACCGATTCTTTCTGCCATTGGCTTCATCAGGAACATGTTACTCCCTGTAACTATTTCTGCCCCCGTATGGATGAAAGGGAATCACCAAACTCATACTGACAGTGTGATGGAATGACTGGCCTGCAGTGTATGTCCATGAGGATCAGGCTACACACATGGTGCCTTCGCAGTCATTATGGGTAAATACAGAAACTAAAACTGGACAATGTGTTCACAGACCACTAATCCCACCCTGACTAATGGAACAGATCATACACACATTTGCATGTCTGTACTTGTGAGGACCCCATCACTGACATAATGCATTCCCTAACTTCATAGCCCCAATCTTAAACTGAAATCTAACTCTAGCCTTAATAGGATACACTGGTGATTTAGGATTACACTCAAAGCTTAGGTAAACAAGATCGTAATCTGCTGACAATCATGCAACATCAGCAGATCTGGAACAATATGCTCTCCCTTTCTAAAAATGTCCTCAATGTCAAACTTAAAATGGTCCTCATAATGACAGAAATACTGGAGCGCACACAAACACGTGCACACCTACCCACCAAGCAGAAATACAACCACCAAAATAGACACACCCTGCAGGCAACATTTCGCCAGGCAGGCAGCTGTGAGGTATTTTGGGTTATGAACAGATGCACACACACACACACACACACACACACACACACACACACACACACACACACACACACACACACACACACACACAGCTCCACAAATCAAAAGAGGAGCAGAATACATCAAGGCAAATGTTAGAGAAGGTCTTGAATGACAACCAAGGGAGTGGTGACCTCTCATCTGTGTGTGTGTGTTTGTTTGTTTGACAGTCAGGCAACACCTTCAGACTCGAAGCAAACTACTCACTGCACATGGCTGCCTCAACATCTGTCCACTTTAATAACTCGCCCCCCAGAGCCTGACAGTGCAGGTCGAGTGTGTGTGTTTTTTCTGTGTGATGGTGCATATCAATGCAACTGCCACTTACTGTTTTGTGGTATTGTGTTGACAAGACAGAGAGGAAGTGTACTTACGACAGTCCTGTTCATCAGAGTCGTCCTCACAGTCGTTGTCTCCGTCACATACCCAGGAGCGACGAATACATTTGCCGTTGTCGCAGTGGAAGTCCAGTGGCGAGCAGGTGGGGAGCACTGCAAACAAACAAGGAAAAACAACAAGTGTGTCAGAAGAAACTGTGAAACTGGGAGGAGAAGGGGCGAGATATGAAACTAGTTTCAAGAGAAAAGATGATGTTCCAGGATTCTGTCTACTACTACATGAGGTCATATCGCAGATGATTATATGGCACACAATGGTTTTTACAAAGTCAGTTCAATGCTAATAGGGCTTCATACTCCTACCATGATTCAAAAGGTTTGACTATGTCAATATTTTACATGTGCTGAGAGCTCAGGTGTTAATAAAATGGGTTATCAGACTAACATATTACAATAAATTACTTTAACTGAATTATGCCAGTTTTCTGTGTATGATATGGGCTTTTAATGATACGATATGGGCTTGCATATTTGTTTTATAGTATTTACTACTGTGCTTCAGTGTTTTCTTTCTGCTTGGTTGGAGTGGAGAAGCTGGGAACCAAACCACTAACCCACCAGTTAGAAGATGACCCGCTGTACCCCTGAGCCATAGCCACCCCTAGTCACCCAAAAATGATGCCAAAATAAAATATAGTTTCAAATTGGAATGAAAATTGAGATTTTATAATCAAGCTGCACATTAGTTGAAGAAGGAAATTAGCCAGATGAATGAATCTGGTAGATACATTTAACAATGATACTAACTGATGTGTATTGCCCTTGATGAACAAATAAGTTGAAATGATTAGCCATATAACCGATTAGTTCATCATCAGAAAAGGAATCTCATGATGTGACGTGTGTATATTTGCCTCATTTCAATGTCATGTCTTACAGTAAGTGGTGCGTCTTTCGGTTTTTTTGAACTGTTTATACAAATCAAGCTATTTAAATATGTCAACTTAGCCTCTTTTCTGTGATGTGCACTCCACTATTTTCAGACAATTAATTAAAAAAATAATTGGCTTTTTAATTGGATTATTCAATGGTAAAAAATAGTCTCAGCCCTAGATAAACACATTCTGTTAGATGCGATATCATCCCAATGCAGGGATGAAGCTTTTACCAGTTTCATAGCCATCGGTCCTGTCTGACAGGCACAGTTTTAATGAAGGAGGGTTTAATCTCTGGCTGGTCTCAGCTCATCCAGAACATGAGCCTGATCTGACCCTGCATGTCCTTCTCCTTCCCACCTTCATACCCTTAGACTCGAAAAGCAGCACTGAGCTCAGCTCAGCTCAGCTCAGTGAATTCCTCCTTATCTTCATATGCACTTTAAGTGCAGCTACTTGCTATCGAGGCAAAGCCTGGATAACTGGCCCTTTGTCATAACCAGACAGAGCTAATTTAATTATAGGCCAGAGAGGAATGGAGGGAGGGCAGAGATGGGACAAAAGAGGAGGAGAGGCAGCAGTGGACTCTCACCCGCCTGTCAATACCAGATATGAAATATTGAAATATTGAGCAAGTAATGCAGACTTCATGAAAAATGTATGTCGTCACACGGAAAGTTAACCAGTGAGGCAGACAGGCGGACGAGTCAGGACTCAATGAGTGAATTAAGCAAAAGTGTATGTGTGTGTTAGGGTGTGGCTCTGGTCTCAAGGGGATGTAAAGCCCCACTGACCTACATACCCCTGCCTGGATATTACATTATTCAAAGAGAAAAAGACATAAGCAGCTTTCTCAATTCATTCTCTTCACCTTCTGATCAACTTTCTTTGTCAAACTACTCAAATGTACTTTGGACTAACTCAATTTTCATATATATAAAGGCTTACTGCGTTTCTGCTATCAATTATCCAAATCATACCATCAGTTCCAGCAGTCATTCATTTCACTATGATGTGAAAATCAACTTATAATGACATGAAATGGACTTGAGAGAGATCATCTTCCTTTAATAAAAGAAAATGACCGCCCTTTATATTTTTATCTATGTTACTGCCACATTTTATTGCAGCAGTGAGCACAGACTGTGTTGATAACTTTCCCATGTAGCGCATTCAAAGCTGCTCAAGGCATCTGAGGTTTGAGAGTCTGCTGCCAAACGTCCAAAAATCCACCATGTTAATGCAAGAAATAGCATTTAACCATCTTTTTCACGGTGCTCAAATATGCTGTCTAGATTTGTTTTCCAAACAAATACTGTTCCATATTCTTGGAGCAAACATCTAATAAAATATCCAATTTTAGCAGCCCTCCTCCTTGAACCGCCACCTTATTGTGGTGGAGGGGTTTGAGTACCCGAGTGATCCTAGGTGCTATGTTGTCGGGGGCTATATGTCCCTGGTAGGGTCTCCCAAGGCAAACAGGTCCTGGGTGACGGGTCAGACTAAGAGCTGTTCAAAAGCCCTTTATGAATAGATTAAAATCAAGGACCGTGACGTCTCCCGGCATGGCGCAGCCGGGGCCCCACCCTGGAGCCAGGCCCGGGGTTGGGGCTCGAATGCGAGCGCCTGGTGGCCGGGCCC